AAGACCGAGGGGAGGCCTCAGGAGGCAGGTGACCTTAGGAGAGCTGGACTTTCTGGAGAAGTCCTCCTTGAGCATACACCTGACAAGACTTCTCTGAGACCTCACAAGTGTATCATCCCTGCCTGGATCCTCCTGAGATGTGAGGCAGCGACGAAGGGCAGTGTGGCCAAAGACACACAAAGACACACAACAGTGAGGGGTGGGGAATGAGGATTTGGTATGCAAAGATGAGGCTGCAGGTCACCAGGCCTCATAGATGCTCTGCAGGACCTGACTGGCCAGAGCTCCACAGACCACGAGTAGTTCTGGAACCAGTGTGCACAGGACAGAATGTTCATGACATGGAACCCCTTACCAACTAGACCCAGTTACAAGGCTGGGACCAGTGAGGTGATGAACAGTGTCTATCGTGGGAGGTGACTGTCTTCAGTTTTATTGTTGCCTACACAAAGTCCTGGAAGGAGTTGTGGCTGCAAATCTGCTTCCACGGCAAAGCTTTCATATTAAAACCACTTCATATTAGTAAAGAAATATAGCATGTAAATGAGAAACCTGGGCCTGTGTAGATTGATGTATAAAATTATAGATTGTACAGTAATTTTATGTCATGTTTACTTGTTTTATTTCCACATTAATTTAAAAACATCTATCATACTGCTGTTGCTAGAAAACGGTACTCAAATAACTGCATACAGCCCCCCCGATGGCCTCTAGGTGCGTACATTTAGAAGTCTAAAGATAAATATGAAGGAGTGAAATAAAAAAAAAATATTGTTGGTTTTCTTGAAAGGAATTTAAATTATTTAAAGTTATCTAAATGTGTTTCCTCATCTTTTAGAGGAGCACTTCCAGCCAGGGTTAGAGCAGGTGAGGTGGTGTTTGTGGCATCTGTAGCTTGTGTGGAAGCTAGCACCCATTCTCTGCCAGCTGTGATTCCTTTGTGCTGTTTTTTGCTCTGTAAATAGGGATGCATGGTTACAGCTTAACTACAAGGATGCTGGAATCTAGCTCTTTCTAAATACTTCAATGCTTAGGGGCACTTTAAGCTTTGGGGGAGTGTGTTGAAATTGATTATAGTCTTGTCTTTGAAAATTCCCATTGTTCTTTTGTTTGGTCATGTACGCCATCAGAAGAGAATTGTATGACCAGTGGCAAATTAAGCCAGTGGATATAGAGTGGATTAAATGTATGCCTGTGGAAGCATTGCTGAAGAGGAAAGGGAGAGTGGAGTATGAGGGAGCAGGAGAGGCAGGGGAGTGAAGGGAGTGTGGTGGTCTTCTTGGACTTCGTGTATGAAACATAAAGTTTGTGCCATTTATATTAATGGAATTTTAAAAGTTGTCCAAAAAGCAAGAAAATTCAGCAGTATTTTAAATGCTTCCCTAATCACCATTAACCGTTGTGGGAGGAAAAACTAACTTTGTGAAATTAAGGAGTGTTAATTACTGTCATAGTTAAAATCTGAAATATCAGTGGCCGTTCACAGGGGCAGTTCGCTTCTCAGATGAACGCTGCTGGTGGCGGGCGTTCTCGCAGGCAGAGTGAGCGGCCTGGGCTGCAGTCCTAGCTGAATGCCCCGGAGAGGTGGCTTCTGTGGGTGCTTCTGTGGGTGCAGGCGCTCTGCATCAAGCTGATGGAGGGGAGAAACAGTAAAATACACGTGACATTGTCTTGGAGGGAAGCCTGGGAGAGTGAAAAATGACGTCCAGTTAGGTGTCTAAGATAGGATAACAGCACAGCTTTTGTAGACAGCAGCGAAGCCCAGCCACAAGGGAGCTGCATGCCGTGCAGTCATGTCAGTTAACGCAGCATTGTGCGAATGAGATTCTGCTTAATACTGACGTAGCTCCTGTGTGCTGATCTAGGCAAAGAGACAGAATTGTGGGAGACTCAGTGTTTATCCGGAAGAGACGTCAACACTTTAGCTCTGTTATGCAACAATTAAAAACCAGTGTCTGTCCAGAGTCACGCCCAGGGACATCTGCATCGCCACCTGATGTGTTCGTCGCTGTCATCCGTGGCTCCCTGATTGGAAAGTTCCAGAGGTTTAGAGTAGATGACACCATGTGTCCCCACACTGCTGTTTTTGATGAATGGATACGTGCTCATGGCATCGCCAGTCCACCTGTTACTGGACAGCCGCAGCTATACCACCCATTATATTTTCAGATCATGTGAACAAAATCAATTTGTGAAATAATTAAATTCAAAACATGGGAAATTATTTGGCAAGGAAATATGAGTATGTTAAAATCAATATTCCGTACATGTCTGGATATGAAAGTTAATGACTGTGCACTTTAAACTTTCCTGGACCACGAGGGCAAAGCAGATTAATCTAAGAACAGCCCTTGGTGCTGCTTTTGACAGTCGGTGAGAGCTTGCTCGATGAATCATGAGCTGTCACCACAGATTTCTTAAAAGTCCACTGAGAGTTCCCCCGACACCCTTCCTCGGAGTGCAGGACAGGGTGATTTCTGTGTTCCTGGAGTAGCCTCAGCTGTCAGACAGTGCTCGTCAGCAAGGGACCCTGGGACAGTGTTTGACATCTTCAGGTTTCTGGCAGGCCTGAATAATCCCTGGGTACCAGGTGACGATCCACCGGGGTCAGAAAATTCAGAGCGTCACAAGCATCAAAGTCAGTATAGCAAGCTCAATGTCATTCTCTGAGCAGACTGGAAAGCAAGCGATGGCTCCTGTTTGCCATTAGTGAGTCTCTCAGTTTGTGGCGTTGGTCCTGGTTTTTCCAAACATGCCAGCCAACTCTGGAGCCATTTGTCATTATTGCAGAACCACTGTTGTGTGTTGGTGTTTAGGCGTTAGGAAAGAAAACTATTGATGTGGAAATGGTAAGTTCTTCCAGTATGGCTGTTGCAAGTATGAAAGAGTTAGGAAAATGTGACTGCCCTCTTTTTTGGTCAAATGCTAGTAAATTCCTAAATAGTTTTTCTCCCACCCTTCCTCCCTTTTATGCAAAAGCTGGTGTATGTTAAGTATCAGGCTTTAGAGAACCAGTGAGAGTTTTGTTTATTCTTGAGTCTTTATGCAGACATATTTGACCTTGTCATTTGGCCTTGGATCAGTCACTGCACCCCTCTGTTGTCTTTGCTTGCAAAGCACAAATGTCAGTATCGGTGTATTTGGTGATTGTGAAAGCAGATTTCCAGGGATCCAGAGAAACGAATGAAAATAAGATGATTATGACTTAACCCTTTCAAAGGAACAGCGCACTTCTGAAGGAGAAGCAGGCTGTTGGTGTGTGATCTTCTCAGATGTGGAGAATGATCGGCAGCATTTTGTGCATTACAGTTGCCTTGTCTTGGGGATGGCATCAAGCCTGTGAAAACAACAGATGAACATCGATTTTGTGACCTTGCTCCCGGAATTTTCAGTGCTTCAATGTTAATTTTTCTGCCAGCCATAAAATATAGCAAATATAAGTGTTTGCACAATTTCATGACAGGTGCTTAAAGTGGTGTTTATGGAAAACATCTGGAAAAGAGTGTTTTCAATTCTATAAGAGAATTCAGTTTGTTGGCCCATGTGTTAAATAAAAACTGTAATAGCTACAATCCGTTCTATGATTACAATTTTCCCAAAGAAGAAAATCCTCTGTACTGTTTCTGAGTTTTGGACCAAGCCACAGTGAAGGATTTAAAACTGGAAATTATGGATGATGAGGAAAAGGGTTCAGCAATACATCTGCCGAAAATTCCTACTGTAACATTTTTAAGTATTGATATAATTATCTATTCTAGTACTTTGAGCAGAGTCACCTTGACAAGCAAACCCTGTTTTATTCATGTGTTCTGAAAGACTTCCTAACAAAATTTAACATGCAAAGTTTAGTTAGCATTAACCAATTATATAGAAGGAAATTAGCACAATGGTAGACATTCAGACCTCGGATATGAATCTAAAGGAATAGGAACAAATGAAATGTTGCTGATTTTATATATATATATATATATACATACATACATATATATATGTGTGTATATATATAATTTCATTTTTATTATTTGACTTTCACTTCAATTCTCTTATTTGAATTTTGTATTACTCTGAAAGTTTGTTTTGTATATCTTCTCAAAAACATTTTTCTTGATAGTTTAGTATTCCATTGCAATTCCATTTATTTTTGCTCTGTTCCTTATTAGTTCCTGTGTAACGTTTGCTTGTGTGTCGTTTTGTTCAAACTCTTTAAGATGTATCACTAGATCTAGTTTTTGAGACTTTTTAAAAATACAAGCTTCCCTCTTCATATTGCCTTTGTTGTATCACAGGGTTTGATATGTTGTGTTCTTGTTTCATTATTTCAAGGAAATTACTGATATCCTGTCTTGTCACTCATGTTTAATTTCCACATGCTTGTGAGTGTTGTATTGTTCTTCTTGGTGTTAATTTATATGTTTATCCCTTTGTATTCTGGAACGATAAATGGGGTGATTTCAGTGAATTCAGTTTTACTGGCACTTGATTTGAGGAGTAACTGACCTGATTGTGGATCCAGTCTAGAACGTGCTCCATGTGCTGATGGGAGTGTGTGTTCTGTAGCTGTTGGGTAAAATAGCTTACAAATGTCTGGTAGGTCCATTTGCTCACTAATATCAGGAAACTCTAATGTACCTGTTGATTTTCTCTCTGTAAGATCTTTTATAAGAGTGAAATGTTAATGTCACCCACTATTATAAAATTGGAGTGTATCTCTTTCTTAAGGCTCATGGTTGGTCTTATTATTGGGTTCATATATATTTTTATCATCATTACATCACATCTTATTGATCAGTTGATTCTTTTAAGTAAATCATCAACTTTCAGGTCTTCCTTAAGCTACAGAAGGTTTTGATATTTGTGAATTGGACATTGAAAGAATTGAATGAGGTTATGACATGTGAGTAGAGTAATAGGAAATAAGTGTGCTACACATTGTAGTGCTGCTCTGTTGGCATAGGATTAGGTCTAGTGACATTTCCATTTTATTTCTTTCAGGTTGCTTTCAGCTATGTAACGTTTTTCGATCCCATGAAATGGAAATTGACCAGTGCCTGCTGGAGTCCCTCCCCCTGGGCCAACGGCAGCGTCTGGTGAAACGCATGCGTGGGGAGCAGCTTAAAGCTTACTATGAACGGGAGAAGGCTCTGCAGAAGCAGGAAGGATTCCTGAAGAGGCTGAGGCATGGCAAGAGCCAGAAGGTTCGTTTCAGCCTCTGTGACATGGTGCGGGATGCCATCGTCCACCACAACGACAAAGAAGGTACATGCCAGGGAAGGGGCCCTGTCAGGACTGACTGTACTTGCTTCCTGCTCTTCCTGCTGGGGAGGGGTGCGGGTGTGGGTGTGAAATCCCTTTAAAGAGTTAGCTATCAACCTTCAAAACAAATCAACCTTTCAGTAAATGTGGAAAAAAATGTAAAATGTTGGTCCACTCCTAACACCTGATAAGGCCCAAAGCCAGAAACCAACTCCATCTGGCTCTGTCACCTGAGTGGCAGGGACCCCATCAGTGGGTACAGTGGCATCGTCTCTCAAAGTCTACAATCAGCAGGAAGGGAGAGCAAGGGCAGGAGCTGGTACTGAACCCAGGCATTGCCATAGGAGATAAAGTTATCTTTTTAACAAGGTGCACATATCCACATGGGTGACAGGGATACAGGCACTTTCCCCTGGAATTACAATAACGCTCAGTGGCTTTGACTAGAATTGGCTGCTCAGACATGGAATCTGGACACCCCAGAGAGTGGATCATACCACTGCACCAAACACCAAGCCTGGGTGCAGGTGTCTTAACTGGAATCTTAACTCTTGGGCAAATGTCTACCCTAGATTTATAGTCTGATGCCTCCCCAATACATGATGATTGGGAAAGCAGTCAGTTCATGCAGTTTATCATTTTGTGTAGTATTGCAGTAGGTTTGTGTTTATGCAATGAGAGATAAACAAAAGTTTGCTCTCCAATGTATCTCATTTAATTAAACTGGGAAAAAGAAAAAAAATGAACATAACTGGACGCAGTTACCACACAAAGTTGAAGTGTCATATTAGTACAGCAGTGAGGCAGTTCCTTGGGGAATGTGGTATTTCAGAGACACTTTTCTTGATGATTTCTTATAACTTAGATGTTTGAAAGAATGGCAGGTGAGCCCTCTGTGCTGAAAATCACAGTCTATGTGAGTCACAGGCACAGAGACCTTTGGAACCAGTGGCAAACGGACAGGGTGACCACTGAGGCCATTTCGAGTTGAATGAGACTGTAGGACACTCTGTGGTTTGGTTTGAAATGGAAAGCAATGGAAGCCATTGTGTATTCTTCAGAAGTATGTTTTTATGAAGCCTGGGATGCTTAGCAACGTTTCATGGTGCTTATCGCTCCATGTGGTCAACTGAGGGAAAAGGATGAGACCAGGAAGTAGAACAGCTAAGAACCACTGTTGTTTCAAGGTCAAGAGAATCAGCAGGGCTGGGGTAGCTGCAATGGAAATAGAAACGGTCCCCAGTCATATTCACAGACTATGTATTAGTTCATCAAGTATGTGTTGAGTCTCCACTAGTCAAGTGTGAAGGGCAGTTGTGAGTGGATCAAACTGTCTCTCTGATGCCCACTGTCATGTGTGGGTGGCAGAGAAGTGCAAGCTTAAACATGTGGTATGCTGGGGACTGCTAAATGCTGCAAGAAGCTTCCAAAGAGAGCTCACTGTGTGGATGTCTGATGGTGACGTGTCCAGCAGGTGCAAAGCCCTTGAGGCAAGAACACCTGTGCTGATGAAGGAGCAGCAGACCAGTGTAAACAAGGGCGGGGGACAGAGCAGAGCAAACCAGACGAGGTGGGGCCTGAGAGGTGCCCAGAGAGGCTGGAGATGGGTTATTAGTCGATCATGCTCATGTCACAAAACCATACAAATCCACAGATAACTGGGTTTGTACGGAAGGTTGGGAGAGTGCAGTGGAGAGGCCCTGGAAGCTCCTGTGCCTCTGACCACGCCGTGAGCCCTGTGCTTCTGCCTGGCTGTCTTTCTGTGTGCTTTGTGGTGTTCTTTACCACAAGTGAGTAAGCCAAAAGCTTCCTGAGTTCTGTGAGCCACCCCAGCACCTCTTGTATAGAGAAGGTCCAGGAAGAGGCCTGGTGTTCCTCACATTGTCAGGCAGGTGCAGCAACTGTTGCATTAGTGTGTGAGGGCAGTGATAATGATACCCTGGGCAGGGCTTGCAAACAGGTTCCAAGTCCAAGGTCAGGGTGTCAGCAGATGTATTTTCTCTCTCCTTACCTTGCAGCCATATGGACGTCTTCTCTCTGCATCCATAAATACTCACTTTTCTTCCCACCCCCAGCCTCCCACTGTATTTGTAACATTATCGGTGATATTGGATTTGGGTCTTCCCTATAAACCCTGAAATGACCCTGTCTCAGAATTCAGCCACATCCTGAGGTTGGGCAACCACTGTTGGATCTGGGGAGACAGAATTCATCCTGTCACACTGGTGAAGGAGAGAAGAAAGTAAAATGAGGCAGGGAAAGTTACAGGATGCAGGAAGGGTCAAAGAGAATGTTCCGTGAGGCTGACAGTGTGTGGCCAAGACTGTTGTGGCTGTCATCCTCCCGGAAACGGGCCTGTAATGGCAGAGTTCCCCTGCACATTAGCAGGGCGTCACTGAATCATGCTTTTGCTGCAGGAGATCGGAATAGACATTTTCATGCATACTGCAGATGTTAAGACGATAAAAGCCTGTTACAGCTGACATCAATGATGGAGTTACAAGTAGGGATAATAGGGCAGGAACTACAATCAGCAGAGAAAGCGAAGGAGAATTAAGGTGCTCCAAAACATGTTCATTGTCTGGACCAGGATCTTACCTTACAAACTTGCGACTGCAGTGCGGACCATGAGGACGAGGTTGAGTTCTCATTACCAAGACCATCTGGGGAACTAAACCAAATTGAAGGTCAAGTTGAAAATGCAGTGCAATGTTTGACTCTAACTCGTTCCTCAGATTCCTTTGTGTGTGCTCCCAACTTGCTGAAATGTTTTAAAAAGCAACATTACTGTATGTATGGGCAAAGTTTCCAAGACAGTTTGAATAGTCAAGGAACCAGTGTTAATGCAGGGAGAGTTGTGTAGCGATGGGGAGCTGTGGTGCGTAATTGGGGATGGGAATAGCTTTCTGCTGTGTGGTGTCTTGTTTGTGAAGGAAATGGAAGGCCTAAGCAGAGAATGCTGTAGCCCATCGCAGGAGGTCAGTGCAGGTGCCGTCCTGTGTGGATAATGGAAGGTGTGAGTAGAGTGGAGTAGCTGACCACGGGCGGTCAGTCCAGGAACCGTGTTATGTAGATAATGGAATGGCATAGCCGATCGCAGGAGGTCAGTACAGGTGCAGTTGTGTGTAGATAGATGCGTTCTTCATCAGCCTCCCATGCAGCTACCACAAGACAAGCAGTGTTTTTACAAAGAAAACAGGCCAGGTTCAAAGGCTTCTACCTTGGTTTCCCTGCTTACTGTTGAACTGTGTCACTGCCTCTTGTCAAATAACAAAGATTCTTGACTGACAGTTTCCACACTCAGCCTATGGTTAAATAGGCAGCTACCTTAAACATAGACATGCGGATAACACAATCTCAATGGAAGATACGTCTATCTTTTGCAGAGACAGGAGGCCTGTCCATGATGTTTTTTCCCGGTAGATAGCACTGGCAGAAACGGTGATGACATATGCACACCTGGCCCCTGGGCTCGTGTCTTTGCTAACACGGTTACCTCTTAGTGTGCCATCTCTTCTGTTCACTTCTTGTTACACTTCTGTGGAATTTTTGAAATAGTTAATTGAACTAATTGGCCTCCAAATTTTCTCAGTATCATAAAGTAAGTCTACAAGCTGTTGGTACTTACATGATGCTCACATGTTTGAGCTTAAACTATATTCTTGTACTGGCCTGTCTCAAAGTTCCTGGAAATCTCAGCAGAACCACAGCTCCCATAGGATTAAACGTCAAGTATGAACTGCTTTCAGTGTTAAGATAGGAGGTGTTTAGCCATAACTTCTTGGTAGAGCCTTCTTTCCTTTCCTCTGAAATTTCACTTCAGGCTGTTGGTTGGAGAGCTGCGGCATAAAAATGCAAATTATATAATTTCATTAGAGATTTTATAAAGGTATGTTTTGGCAAAGACCAAGCACTGGAAGATCAACAAAGTAAAAATTATAGATCTTGCATACAACATGTATATAGCTTAATGATATCATGGAAGTCAGATTCTTTGAGTTTCAGTTTTCTCACAGGTTATGCAGAAAGAATGACTTATAAACTTGTTGAGAATTGGACATCAAGTAGGCACCTGTTAAATGGTAGTTAATAAACTATCAAGAGGTTGCTAACAGATACGTTGTAACTATATTTCTTACAACCCAGTAAAGTCAGTATGGTTAAACTACTGCCATAAAATGCTGTGATTTTTTAAAAAACTTTAGGTTATAAATTTTAAGAGCATGTATTGTTGATGTAACATTTGAAGTTAAATTGAATTTTATTTTCATAGTTCATGTGGGCTTCAAACCTAACTCTGAGTAACACTTGGTATTTTGGTTATCACACATGACAAAAATATGTTATAGATATTAAAGCATACGGAATAATGCAATTAATTGGTTGTAATTTTAATTATATACATATATATATGTTTGCCTTAAATATCAGGTATATACTTTTTAATCACATTGCTATATACGAGTAATTTTAAAAACCCAAATTCTATCATGATAATGTATTAAAATAGTTTAGATAATTATTTTAATTGAATGACCAATGGGAATCTCTGTGTAAATAATAGACATTTTAACTTATCTTTACAATTATCATATTTTGTTCAATTTCAATTAGTCTTCATTATAAAACTGCATTGCTGAACTCAAACCCTAATCTACCTTATTATTGTTATCAGTTTGTATACAGCAAATTAATATAAAAATCTGAACTGTCTGAAATGAGAAAGATAAAAACACAGTCGAAACAAAGAAGCTAAAACTGAAAAGCTGATACAACACTGAGCTGAAACTTGAAGCACCACAGTGAGCACCATGGCAGTTGCTCCATTTGCAGCGGGAAAGTATGAGTTAATTCAGGAGAATGGGAGTGCAATGTTAAAAACATCGGAGCCTGTGTCGTGCAGTGAGACTGAGAAAGTCACCCGCACGGCGTCCCGCTGTAACTGTCAGTGAGCTGGCTCTCCTCTGCTGTCCCGCTCATTTCTCCGTTGTTTTAAATGCTCA